CCTTCGAGATAATTTGTCAAAAAATATTTCCAAGATGGCGGCGAAACACAAAGTTTGCATGCATTTTACTCGTAGACTAAAATGTTTGAGAACGAAATGATCATATTTTCATAGTTAGGTCGTCAAGTAGGATTGAAATAGCCAATAAAAATTTTCGGTGCCATTGTCCTTTAAGTCGCAAATATGATATAATTCATGTTCCGTATATATAGTTTGTAATGTATAGTTTATGTAATGTTGTATTCAACTGTTGTGCCTGGACGAAAATGGTATCAGATTGATATATACTGCATGTATAATACTAAAGAATTATTTTCCTACATGCTGGCGTAGATGTATAGAAAACTTTTGCACAAACGTTCACAAAATTTCTTTAATACTGTTTGAAATTTAGTGACGACTTCTGAAAGCAGAATAGAATTTCACAATGATTCAATTTCACCCAAATTCGAACAAAATTAAAATCCACTGGTCCTTAGCCTATAGATCTTCTATAACGCTTTTGCAAATTGATATTTGTATTTTTCTATAGAGATTCTCACTTCTTTAATTGCCTGTAATAAAAAAAATTTGGCAAAATCGTGTAAGATCTGTTGTTATCAGCTTTACTACTACTTTTTGTTAAAAAGCTCAATATCTTCAAACATACACACAATAATCTCACATTTAGATTTTAAAAGTTTTAAAACCTAATTAGTTAGGTATACTATATGAAAAGGAATTAACACATTTTACCATGTTCGCATCTATTTCCAATCCAACCAGCCTTGCAGCTACATGTTCCAGATCCTACACAGATTCCACCATTATAGCAACCACAACTATCAGCTATATGTGGATCAAGTACACCATGTGAAAATTTATAACTGACAACAGTTCACATTACTAGTACACAACTATCTACAAATGATCATAAAAAAGTAGATTTTGAAATGGCTTTCAATTTCACAAATCCATTCATTTCATAAAGTGTTTTGTAAATATGGATTGTTTGGGTAATTGTAATGTATAATAACAAAAATTTTGGTGAAGATAAATTTTCCAGAGCAGGGGGTGGGGGTGTTAAACAATAAATTTGTTATGTGTTTTATCAATGGTTCCAAAATCAGAAAATTTACTCAATTTTAAGCCCTTTAATAATTATTCCCCGAGCCAACGGCGTGGAGCGACGTTCCGGCGTTAGCTCGGGGCCAGGGTACTAATTCCGACCGGCTATTTACATCCGGAGAAAGGAAAGCATTAGCGAAGTCTAAAGTTCATCATTATCGCGGGCGCGTGACTATGGTTCATGGGTGGACCTCCTCACTGATCTAAAAAATATGGCTGTTTGCTAGGAGTTGGATAAGCAATTATGGGAATCGTGAAATATAGTGCAAGTTTGCTTTGAATGTTTAATGTTTATGAATTTTGTTGCTTTTAATAATTTCTTGCGTATTAAAAGTACATGCAGCTTTCCTTTTCAGTCAAACTGTAAGTTTCCTAAATTACCCTGTTTAATTTAATTAAGAAAAAAAAGTAAACTGTAAAGGAGAGCAAATTAATTTGAAGACCTAACTGAAATTACTCCACAATTTGAACTTATCCCCCAAGCCGACGGCGCGAACGCCGTGCGAGGGTACTAATTCCCCCCGGCTATTTACGCCTGGGGAAACGAAAGCATTAGCGTAGTCGAAAGTTCATCAATTAACGCGGGCGCTCACCAACGATGTTGAGGGTGTTGGGTGGGTGGCACTGGTGGGTGGTCATCCTCGCCGATCTTAAAAATATGGCCGACTGTCATGAATAACGGACACTGATTGGTCCAATTTAAAGTTTGCATTATCAAAGATTAGATACTATAAAGATGTGCCACTCTGCGCAAATTATGTCCGAGATTTTTTTATAGCCGCCATTTTGCCAGTAAGTGTCAACTTCCAACGCTATCAGTCTCTAAATAGTAAAATCAAACGCCATCAGTCTCGCCGCCATTTTGGCAGTAAGTGAAAATACGTCGAGTGGCACATCTTTATAGTATCTAATCTTTGGCATTATAACGACTGCATGACGACAGCGAAAATGCGAAATACAGGGACGCCGGAACTGGGGGGCAGGAGGGCCAGCCGCCCCGTTGCCCTTTACCAGCAGGGGCAAGGGGGGTAACGGTGCCCTTTCAATTTAAAGGATTGCCTTGGCAAAATAGCGAACTGTCCGAAATGTTAGTGCAATTCTTTTACGAATTTGCTTTAGAAAACGCAAGAAATGCAGTCATCGAGCTTCAAAATTAGCACAATCGCCTGGCGGAGAACCCCCTCACACCCCTATCATCCAATAAACAGAAAATATGATTAGGGGAAGTTCAACTCCCGATGTTTTGCAAACATCTCTTAGTATATATCAATTCAAAAGTGCTCTTTCACGAAAATCTTCCCCCCTTGCCTTCACATCGTTCCGGCGTCCCTGGCGAAATAGCAAACATTTGAATACACCAGCTTGATCTTGATGTTTGATCTTGATGATTGATACATTTCTTGCAAATATATTTCATTTTTGCTCGCATTTTTGCAAGATTTTGTAAATTTCAAAAGCTTTCTCGTGAAGAAAGGGCGAAAGAATCGGCTAAAAGAAGGGAGCCGACGTTAACGAAGGTAAGCTTGTTTTAAATATTGATTTTATAATTACTTTAAAACCCGACGGCTTTTGGCCCTTTGCGTATATGAAACAACTAAACAAGACAGCATATAATTTCAGTGTATTATTAATATTGATTCCCTTTCTTATTATATTGAATTTTTTAAATAAAAAACGGAAAGCGAAGTTATTTGCATGCGAGAATTTGAAAAATAGAGACCACTGCCAGCACGGAAAGTTCATCGATAAATCCATTAAAATAAAGGCAGTTGAAGCTTATATTACATATAATAACATACCTAACATATATATGTTGGGAAATTGATAATTTTGTAATCAAAAGTGATATTTTAGGTCGGATTTTTCATTTGTAAGAATATTCTTAAAAAATTATCGTGTTACCATGACAACTACTTTAGATACTTCATGTTCAAATACAATGGTTTTGTCAGCAAGGCGAGGGTTTCTGCATGCATGTATTTTCTAGTTAAATATTAAAAACAGTTCATCGGCAAAGACGACAAAAGAGTCTCGTTATTAAAATGAACATTTCAAAACATTCTACGAAGCGATTCAGTTTAAATTTTACATTAAATCAAAGCTCACAAAATGCAAAATAACATACCTACAGTACATAATTCGAAAATTCATTGTTATATAGTTAAAAGCAATAACCGTTCAACTATTTTTGGCGTGTTGTTCAAAAAAATATAAAATTTAAGATTGTCGTGTTGCCATGACAACACTGACGAAACGCGAGCCTGCGTTTAGTGTTACTAACGCAGCACTGTAAGTCAATGTTTGGAAAATGTAGGCGAGGGGTTGCTGCATGCATGCATTTCTAGTATAGTTGCTGAAAGAAATGGCTATCACGCTGCTTAATTCATGTATTTATCTCATTTGCATATTGTTATTTCACTTTTTACAATAACAATACGCAAACTAGATATATGCATGTGATAGGCATGCATTGGTTCCAACAGCGCTAGCTACTTAAAGGACTTGAAATTGAGTAAATTTTCCGATATTTGAACCATTGATAAAACATAAAACAAATCTCTTGCCCAAAATGCGTTTTAATATAAACTTTCAAATTTCGCGCGCTAGCTATTTTTAATACTCCTTAAAAATACCCCCCCCCCCTGCTCTGGAAAATTTATTTTTACGAAAATGTTTTGTTTATTCTACATTATAAGTACCCAAACAATCAATATTTATATAGAAAATCCATGAATTGAACGGATTTGTGAAATTGATACCCTGAGAGCAGAGCCTCCTGATTTCCACTCGCGTAGAAAATAAGGCTCTGCCGTTTTTGTGTTTAATTTGTGTCGAGTATGCCCTGTTTCCAATATTATGTCAAAACATGTCAAAGATCACTTGTATTTTTAGAATGACTGCTAAATTTAGAGAACCAATCGCATGTAGTTATCGCTACATGCTGGGCGCGTGCAACTGCACGTGCTGTACAATTACGACAATAAAAAATAATACAAAAACATTTTCAAATCGATAGTTTTGTCACTTGTCAGTTGTGAAATCAAAATATTACTATATTTTTACAATTGCCAACTTGCTAGTTTATTTTATCCTACGTTACTTTACAGTATATTTAAGTTATTGTCAGCCAAATTTCGGTTATAAAGTATAAAGTTTTAAATTTTGTAAAAATATAGTGGGCTCAAACTGTAGTCATCGGTTTACATGCAAAACGAAGGCGCGCGCATTTAAAACTGGTTTGAACTGGTTTATTACCGGTTCACTTCGTCCGGAATTTTGGACGAACAAAAACACAAAAAAGGCAGAGCCTTATTTTCTACGCGAGTGCAAATCAGGCTCTGCTCTCAGGGTATGAAATTGAGAGCCGTTTCAAAATTGTCTACTTTTTTATCTACACCCTGTAGTAGATGGAAATTTTATTATTTTCCATAAATCGCCACTATAACGACAAAATACTAGGGTACCTGCAAGGTAGGGATTGCTGCGGGCATTAAAAGCAAACTAGAACTGCAGTAAACAGCACAAATTATATCAAGCACAGTGATTACTCGCAGCGACTAGTGAGCTGTGAATGGAACTGAGAAGAAGCAATATATATTGAAGTAGCAAAGACCAGGGGTTAAATGGCAATCAGAGGTGACAGATATTAAACATGGGCGTCTCATTGACATACAGGTAAATTAAGATCAGATTTCATATCAAGTCTGTTTACTGCTAGGCGCATTTACCACATAATGTACACTATATACACAGATTTATCACACTAAGAAACCAAAACTTTATAAAAATATAGAACTGATAGTGGCGAAAGTCCAAAACAAATGTAAGCGTAACAGTAGACTTGAAAAAGCTTTAGAAATTCGATAAAAATTCGAAGACCCAGCTGCAAGTTTAAAATTGTGTTCTGCGCATAGAAAGCGCGCACGACCACAATTCATCCTTCCATGCGCTAAATATATAAAATTTAGTTCAAAACCCCCTCTCTGCACATATTAGGCTCCTGCTACGCTCGCTCGCTTCAGGCTCGCTCGCTCAGCAGCAATTAAAGGCGGATCAATTTGCAGAGAAGCCATAGTAATATATCACCTTCTCAATTCTTCAATTCAAATCTTTTAACTTTTAAGTCCATTGCAGATGTAGCGAGATTTAAATATTCCTCAATAACACGAATGTATACAGGGCTTTTCAATCACAAAATACAAAGCCCCGTCCACTAGTCCACGCACACGAGGAACAACAAAATGGCTGACAATATATATGCTGCTCACATAGTGCTTGATAAAAACCTAGAAACACTAATTTAAACAATATGTGAAACTAATACATACCTCATTTATTCAAAAGTTCATCGAGCTACCATAAATGTTCAGTTCATTTTGGGCTATATCTCACATATTTAAAAACGTTTACTATGAAATTCAATTAACACATTTTACCATATTGACATGTGTATCCAGTCCAGCCACTCCTGCAGCTACATTTTCCAGGAGCTGTACAACTTCCACCATTAATGCATATGGAACCACAATCAGCTGAATTATAAAAATTCACACATTTCAAATACATTTTGTATTACTATTGCAGAACTATCTATAAATATTTAATAATTAACTTTTTATCTCCCATAAATCACGCACAAAAGGGCAAAATATCAATGATGGGTCACATGTGCGCCAGGCTCGCGAACAGCCACGTTTTATTCCGCATGTTAAAGAAAAGTGGTATATAATACAAAAGATATTGCTACATAAAGGAGCATGTATATTAGTTTCACACTCATTAAAGACACAGTTCAGCCTTTTGAAATTTGTGCGTCACTGGTCGTATAGTTCAGAGATGCAAGAATTACTGAAAAAATAGACTCAACACATTTTCCCTTATTGACACATGTGTCCTGTACAGCTAGTTCAGCAGCCATACATGCATGTTCCAGATTCTGTACTGTAACAGCTTCGATCCACTTAGTCTATTATACTGGTCAACTTATACCGTGTTAAAATTTACAAATATAGCTCGCATTACTATCTATAAATGATCTGGGGCGCTTTCCATTTGACGGAAATTCTGGAAATCTTGCTTGAAAATCAAATGGAACACGTTAATTTCCGGAATGCTGTTTCGAAAATTCCGGACAATCTCTTGAGGTTGTCCACAAATTGGAAATTCCGGAAGTTTCGAAATTTTTGCATTCCACTAAAACATTTCCCAACCAACGTTGCTGCTTTCCAAAAGTTTTTGAGCAAAAACCGCCACCTATTGCGGTTTGAAAAAATGGCGCGTTCTCTGTCGACCATTTCAGTGCCTCGAGTCTGGATTTATTTCGCCATATGCTGAAAGAAGAGATTTGAGCGGCAGTGTCAAACTCTTTGAAATTAAAGAAACATCATTCCAGAAATTTACGTGTTCCATTTGATTTTAAACAAGATTTCTGGAATTTCCATCAAGTGGAAAGCGCCCAACAAGCCTCCCTTTATTTAGAAGGCCTGTCACGCTGTAGCGTTCCATTTTGCCACTGGACATTCCGAAACCGCAAACTGGGTTTTTGTTCAAATGGAAAGCGCGCCTGCAATTAAGTCATTATAAGCACCGTGCACCTGTATAGATGAGAGTTTTATAGTTTTCCATAAAAAAATACTATCGATGCAATAAGATTTAGGAAAATGCAGTTCGTCTAAACCGTTTATATGTTCGGCCATCCCAAAGTATGTGGGTGGGAGGGGTGTTAATTTTTCATTCTCACTTGCAACTGAGAGCTAAGCTGAATTGTGAACGAAGCAGTTCAACCCAATCAAGTCTAAGGCAGTATAAGTAGGCTAAGAGTGTATCTGCCAGCGCCTTTTGACACACGTTTGACAACAGAACACAGCTACGTTAGTATAGGGTCAATATTTGGAGCTTATCCTAGCCACTCCGTTACCATTCGCTGTTGGGAGGACCGGAGTACCCGCAAAAAACACAACTTTCGGTAGAGCCACAAAAAAGAAAATAGACCAGAAGCCTCACTTGGGCAAAATAATGTCCGAGATTTTTTATGCGCAAGCTCCAGTCAGCAAGTGTAATCATGACGCCGTCAAACGCGAGCAACGCCATCAATTTCCATCAATATGTTTCATAATGACTGCTGTTTTAACTGTTTTTAAATGCCACAGGTCCAAATAATGGGTTATCGCAACAGGAAGACACGGCGTAAAAACAAAAGCTTAAAATATTTGCACAATTATTGCAGAATGTGCAGCCTACACTTTCAGCATGTTTTGCAAATTTCAAGAAAAACCGTTGATTTGAGAAAATGACGCTGACGAACGCTGACGTGATGTTCGCAGCAAGTGTCGCACACATCATCTAGCGTGCGAAATTCGTGATCCGCAAGGCAAAAAACGCGGACACGAAAATGTTAGGAAAAGGTGCACAGTGAGACTTCTGGTCTATTTTCTACTCTGTGGTAGAGCGTTGAATATTTTTTTTCAGATAAGTATTATGTGTCCGCGGCGAAATCAAACCCACGCACTCAGCGATCGAAATACGCATGCTCTGACAATTGCTCCATCAAAGCCCCGGCAACAACTTTTACCATATTCACATCTGTTTCCTGTCCAACCACTCTTACAGCTACATTTTTTAGGTGCGGTGCAGCTTCCACCATTTTCGCATCCGGAACCACAATCAGCTGCATAGAAATAAACAAATTACGATTTATGGAATAAGGTTAAAAAAAATAGATTTTGTAAACCGTTTGTATGTCCGGCCATAACAAGGTAAGTGTTTGTTAATCATCCTTACTTGCAGCTGAGAACTAAGATGGATTGCAAACGACGCATCTCAACCTGATCAAGTCGAAGAAATTCTAAGTTAGGGTAGTTCCAGAGCCACCTTTTTACTTACCTTGTAGCCGCTTTTTCGCCAACGTTTGACCACGGAGCATAGCTAGGCTACGCTAATAGGGTATATTTGGGGATTATCCCAACCCATCCTTTCAGCATTCTTTGTGGGGGAACCAGAGTACTCGAAGAAAACCCATGACTATTGGTAAAGCATTAACTAATTATTTTCATATGAGTGTCATGTATACGCGGCGCGAATAAAATCCATGCTCTCAATGATGAAAGGAACTTGCTCTGAAATGCTATGATAAATGCTCTAGAAAGACGCTTGCCCTAACGTACAATTGCGCAACTGAAGCCCAGGCAACGCATTTTACCTGATTGACATTTGGTTCCAGTCCAACCACTTCTGCAGCTGCATGTTCCAGGTCCTGTGCAGTTTCCGCCATTATCGCATCCGGTACCACAATCGGCTGAATAAGAAAAAAGGACATAACAATTATTAATAATGCCATTGCACTAATTATTTCCATTGCCAATTTTAATAATCATGTACCTTGAAAGAAAATTTAGGGCAGTTTCATATTATTCTGACACTGCATTAGAGCAACGAAAAATTTGTTGGCTCGAGCAGGATTTGAACTCGCATCTTCAGGTATCTAGACCGCCGCTCTACCCATTGAACTATCAAGTCAACGAGGATTGGTAGTGAGTCTTTATCCAATTTAAGTGCACGAAATATTTTCGCGGCGACTTAACGCTTGTCTTAGACAACGCGCAGTGTTTCAATTATATTTCAGAACCATCCTGAGAGAAACGAAAAACTAGTTTCATAAGAATAATATGAAACTGGTTTTTGGTATCTCCAGGATGATTCTGAAATTTAAGGCAGTGGTTATTCAATATACAAATATATAATACATACATACATATATATATACATATATATATATATATATATATATATATATATATATATATATATATATATATATATATATATATATATATATATATATATATATATATATATATATATAACTTCTAAACAAGTAAAACTTTTAAAAAGAAATAACTTGCATCAAATAGAAGGACTAACTTAGATTTTGATACATTACAGTTGTATTTCACTTGAAAATTCACGGAGATATTAATGTTTAAAATTGGGAGTAGTCGAGGACCTGTATATGTGTTTGTATGCATTTCATTTAGGACAGATAATCTCAACTGTTTTAGGGTAAGTTGACCATGACGGTCAACATGGTAATGCTGCCCGAACCCCAATCCGGGGCGAAACGTCCGAAACTGACCACACCCAAAAACGACGCTTTCGCCATACTGCTATCTACCAAACCATAAAAGCTTTGGCTATTCTGAGGTGCTTATATGGTTCAGAGATGGTACTATTGGGGGTGGTCATTGGTAAGTGTGAAATGCCTAGCACTAATATTTCACATGAAAATGGCCATGCAATAATCATGGTTAAACGTCAATTTGTGGCTTGCAAATTCAGATAAACAGCAGTGGACTTACATTACCTTTTTCCCTAAATCTTTTTGATAGAAACATAAATGGTACTTATTTAAATATATTATCACTGGTTTGGTGGAAAATAGTTAATATTTTCTGACCGAAATAATAATTCGAAATGTGCCTACCTCCTGCAAATGGACGTATTTGGCCAAGTTCTCCACTTTACTCCGCTGTTTATCGGCGATCTCGTCGACATCCTACAAAAAATGTAAATCATCTCATACATAATGGTATCAAGAACATTTTAAACAAGTTTCAACTTGGTTTGAAGTAGATCATACCTGTTTAACCATCGACAAGGTAAATCCACAACGTTGTCCAAATTCGGCGCCATTTTGTCATCCCATGTCGCTTGTTAACAATTCAGCCTTGTTACTCTTCCATCCAAGCCATTTCCATTCCACTAATAATAAATTTAACCCTTTATAACAGGAGGAAACTAAAAAATCTAAACAAAATACAAGAAATACGCCATTTTATCACCCTGTATGTTGTTTACGAGTCCTTCAAAACATTTCGTACAAATCTCGCGTGGTTTAGCAACAAGGACGTGACGGGGGTAGAGACTTGAAAAATGAAAGGAAAGCCCACACAGTATGGTAAAACCAACAATCAACATTTAATTTGTATGACTTTTTCATATTAATAAATAATAATATGTATATATTTGTCGCTACAAGAAATAAAACAAACATTTGTATGATTGTATTTAGCTTTTAGTCTATTTCACGCAGCCTTCTTCTATCTTCGTGAAATAATTCACCCCCTCCTGTCACGTCCCTGTTACTTTGTCACGCGATATTTGTACGGAATGTTTTGAAAGACTCGTGAGCAAAATTTTACATGGTGATAAAATGGCGTATTTCTTATATTTTGTTTAGATTTTTTAGTTTCCTCCTGTTATAAAGGGTTAAATTTATTATTAGTGGAATGGAAATGGCTTGGATGGAAGAGTAACAAGGCTGAATTGTTAACAAGCGACATGGGATGACAAAATGGCGCTGAATTTGGACAAAGTTGTGGATTTACCTTGCCGATGGTTAAACAGGTATGATCTACTTGAAACCAAGTTGAAACTTGTTTAAAATGTTCTTGATACCATTATGTCTTAGATGATTTACATTTTTTGTAGGATGTCGACGTGATCGCCGATAAACAGCGGAGTAAAGTGGAGAACTTGGCCAAATACGTCCATTTGCAGGAGGTAGGCACATTTCAAATTATTATTTCGGTCAGAAAATATTAAATATTTTACACCAAACCAGTGATAATATATTTAAATAAGTACCAATTATGTTTCGATAAAAAATATTTAGGGAAAAAGGTAATGTAAGTCCACTGCTGTTTATCTGAATTTGCAAGCCACAAATTGACGTTTAACTATGATTATTGCATGGCCATTTTCTTGTGAAATATTATTGCTTGGCATTTCACACTTACCAATGACCACTACTAAAAGTACCATCTCTGAACCATATAAGCACTTCAGAATAGCCAAAGCTTTTATGGTTTGGTAGATAGCAGTATGGCGAAAGCGTCGTTTTTGGGTGTGGTCAGTTTCGGACGTTTCGCCCCGGATTGGGGTTCGGGCAGCGTTACCATGTTGACCGTCATGGTCAACTTACCCTAAGACAGTTGAGATTATCTGTCCTAAATGAAATGCATACGAACTCATATACAGGTCCTAGACTAATATATATAAATGTCTTATGGATACAGAAGCAAGATATTGAACAGTTCAGGTGCCGTACACTTTATTTTAATTGCTATTTAGATAGAATACTATTGTTGTCGAATTGAATTTGTCCTAAAGCCCGTGCTTGAATCATGTTAAAGTACAATTAAACGATTTATCATGGTAATATTATTTATAAGGTGAAACAAATTAACTATTTCAAATTAAAATTCATTCGTCCTCGACGTAATTAACATTTATGATATTTACACGTGCAAGTTATTTTCATGTTTATTTTTTATCAGTGAAAATGAAGCAATCTGGTTGGCTGAGCAGCCTTTCAGAGCGGGCCGGTTTTTGCATCCGGCCAGCTCTGAAACGCAACTGCCCGCTGGGAAATGCAACTGCCCGCTCTGGTTTTCGCGCCAAAAGATTTCAACGCGTTTGAAAAATATAGCCTTACGATAGTCAGATACGAAAATAAATTGCATCAAGCCCTAAAGACGTCATACTAAGCACGATGTCGCGATGTTCACCAGAATTGACAATATTTTGATAAAAAAGTCGGAAAGTTATCTGACATGTATAAAACTTTTATACGTCGAGAAAACTATATCCCTATTACCGCAATGCTTGTAAGCAATACGCTTTGCCGATTTAATATCTTCGGTTCATTGAATGCTATGACGACAAAAATACCACCGTTCGATTCAGTGTGACGAGATCTCCTCACTCGTAGCAATAGTTTTACTCATTGGCAACATTATAGCGATTTATGAGCTTTAAAAGTAAAGTGAGATCGAATACGATCAAATTACGCATTTTACCAACAAATTATAAAAACATAAACATACCTTACGCCGAATATAACTTCGGCCCCTTGAAACGTATGCTCATTGCGATATTCTTGATGAATTAATCATTTAAAATGCCATGTATAACGTTATTTCCAAGCTTCTATCCTTAAAGGGTGACTTTTAGTGCCGAATTTTACATTTTTGCTCCGAATTTGCGATAATCCCAATCGGAAATACGACGAAAACTCGTCAAAACAATGCCACGCTTGTATCGCGTGACTCTACAGAAATGGACTCTACAGGTCAAAGTGCACCCATACGCGTGAGTTTGACGTCATCCCGGCTAAAGGGAGCTCCTTATTGGCCAAGTATTACGTAATACAAGCGCGTGCGAGTAAAACCCGATACTTTAAAAATTCAAAATAAATATTTCTACTCGTATTCATACGAAACTTTCTACACTAAAGCGCTTGAATACAAAGAGTATTTTGCACATATAGCCTTTCAGAAAATGACGAAAAGTTTAGAAGATATTCAACTTTTTCTCTTTTTATCGTTTGAATGTTTGGCGAAGTGGTGAATATAACTATAGGATTGTTTCGGTTTGTATAATGTTCGACAGCACTTGACCCCCCGTTCGAAAGGTTATTTTGTGAGGATTACAATGGTGGGTTTTGTTTTAAAGGGGGGTAAATACTCGCCGCGATATTTACATTTGAAAAATTGAATTGTAATGTAATGCGAAACTACTTAACTGCAGCAGTGAAAGCAAGTCACGAATATATTCTCTACCCATTTGTGTCATGCATTTTTCACTGATATAAATATTGTAAACAAAGTAAAAGGTTGTGTTTAAAAACACTTTTTCAAGCATATTATCGTGAAACGACAAGAAAAAATACAAAAATATAAAAATAACATACCTTTTTCATTATCCTTTTAGTAGAAAAACGTTGATTAATTAAATCAAAACAGATTCATTTTTATATGTTTTTGATTGTATCTGAAGTTTTTATTCCAAAGCTTCTCTGATACCATATTCATGAAAAGAGCATGTACATTTTTACTGAAACTATACGTCTTTTTGTGTGTTTCTTGCCAGTTTTCTCGAGTTTTCGTATTCGTGTTTTATGTCTTCCAACTTGTCAATTTTAATTTTGTCAGCCTCCAGTGCTTCCATTTTGAAGGAAAATTCCTTTTTGAAAGTAATTTTAACAAGTGAAAAACAGCTGGGAAAAATTTGTTGCGCATGCGCCAGATTATCCAAAATTGCCATTGAATTTGATTGAAACTTGAAGACTCCCCAAAAGAAACAGCGAGACGCTCGCGGTTGTTGTATATTTTTAAATGCCTGTTTAATCCTTATAGTACTTTTTGCTTGAGACAAAGTAAAATGTACTCTACGTTTCCAGTGTATAGAATACATCGTTTGAACAGCAATGGATTATTATAATCTTGACACATACAAGAAGACATTTTAGCCTGACCACGGTTAATCGAAGGAGACTGGTTAGGCTAGCCGG